GACTCGATCTAAGAGTGAATTTGTGCTTACCGCTCTCTTGGGTTGTATTTCACTCAGTATCGACCATCTGGTGATTTTACCGCTCACTTTTTCAAATAATTCCTCATTAATTGCCAGAAATAAAATTGCCTGTCACATGTCCTTTCTGTCGTGCCTACTTTTCTTCCACGTGTCGCATCTGCCGCATTTGTCAGGTACTTTAATAATTGCGCCTCCTCGTGTTTCGCACTTCGTTGAGTCCCGCACTCATTAAATCTTCTATCCGTTCGATTTTATCTTTATTTGACGGTCCTCCTTCTCCCACGTCTCTTAAGGCCTTCATATAAAACCCATACTTAGTGAATTTTTGGACTTTTTCCACCTTTGCAACATTCGAACTCTTTTGTATTGAAAAATCCTCTCTACAAAACCCTAGCTTTCTCCTCGGTGATTCCTATTGCGCTCTCAAGGCTTATTCAATTCACTCACCCATGGTTATGAGTAAGTCGTTCTTCACTTGAATTTGCATTCTCTGTATTTCATATTTACGTGTTCTTGGGTTTTTGGTGTTGGGTATCCCAAGTTTGTCTGTTGAACTTTTCTCTTCTTTTTTTTTTTGAATTTGCGTGTTTTGTTCCGTGTTTGTACTCTGAATGCTTTGATTTGTTTGTTGATCGTTATGAATTTTGTTTTTCCCTTCAAAATTTTTCGAAATTCCCACTTTTCTTTCCCTGGTTTTTGGAATTGCTTCCTCTAGAGACTCTAGCCTTCCTTTTTCCCCTCTTTTCCTCCGCAAAAGCCCCTTTTGATGTTGTTCTTTTGCTCTTATTTTTTCAGACTCTGCAACCTCCAGTGAGAACGACTATCATTCTGGTGCTGATTTGAGTTCTCCGTCTTCTCCAACCATCGTTTCCTCCGACTCAGTTCAAGAAGTTCTTTTTGTCCCTGAAGCTGTTCCTATCTCCATCCTTCGACCTGTGATACTATCCCTACTCGTGTCTTCACCGCCCGTGTTTCTTCTCGTGCTTCCTCTCCTAACTCTGGTGACTCCATGGACAATATTCCCCTTCGCCATCGTCGACCTGCTTTTGGCTCGTTAGACGAGCCAGATGAGAACGAGGTCATCTCTTCTCAGCCTACTTTTCTCACACCTTCGACTATTTCTCCTCCTTCTTCTCAGTCTGGTACTTCTAACTATCCTCCTGAAAAATCCTCGATCAAAGAATCTTCTAAAACCTCCTTCAGGCGTCAATCTTCTACTTCTCTCTCTAGCAATTGGCTAAACCCCGAGAAAATCGGTCGACCTAGTGGTTAGGCATTCTATATCCCTTCTTGCTCCGACAAATACGACCATCCTCCAAGCAATTGCTATACCTTCTTTAAAATCCAGTTTAAACTTGGCCTCCGCTTTCCTCTAAACCCCGAGCTGCTCCAAATTTGCAAGTGGTTTGGGCTTCCTTTACATCAACTCCCTCCCAATGCTATCCGCTTCATGACCACCTTCATCATCCTTTGCCACGTC